TGTTCTTGTTGCAGTCTGGTTCACTCCTTGCCCTTGCCTTCAGTAAATTCTATCTTAATAAAGTCCAGCGCTGACAGGATTCAGCTGCTTAAAACATTTTAATAACATCTCACTTTCTATAAGAATAAAGTACAGCTGTTTTCCTGTAATGAAAAGCCTGCACTACTGGACATCTTTTGTTTTCTTCCAGATTTTATTTCCACCAATAGGTGCTTTTCTAGAAAATGCCTCTGCCATACATTTGTGTCTCCGTGCATTTGCCTATGTTGTTGCTGTTGTTACGAATGCTTATTCCATTTTTTGCCTATCCCAAAGGCCCACAATCCAACCCTGCCTGTTGCTCAGCAGGGTTCCACATCTCCTGCTCCTCCAGTCACACACAGCTAACTCACTTCCTTCCTTGAGAGAGACTTAAAGACTTTTGCTAAGCTCTTCCTTTTGCCTGGATTTTTTTCTCCTCATTCTTCATTCACAGAAGTCCATCCAGTTGCAGTTGTCAAGGCAGCTTCCTTAGGGACTTTCCCCCTAGTATTTAGATTAGATTAGATTAAGATATTTCCTTGATAAATCATTGCATAACATCCTCTAATTTTCTCTCGGAAATTATTCCCCAGTAATAATTACAGAGCTTTTGAGTATTAATTCCCCATCTTTCTTCATAGAGTTCTTAAATCTTAGACTTATCCTTTTTTTTTCTGTCTATGAGAGTTTTGCCTTCATGTGTATATGTATACCACATGCATATATTGCACATGGAGGCCAGAAGGAGGAGGGTATTGGATCCTCTGGAACTAAAGTTAGAGGTGATTGTGAGCTACCTTGTGGGTGCTGGGAATCATCTCTCCCAGCTCCTCTGCGAGAACAAAAAGGGCTGTTAACTCTGAGCTATTTCTCCAGCCCCTTTTCATAGAAATCAAACAACTGTGAGATCAGGGGGTGTGGTCTATCATGTCATAATCCTAACCTTGGTGCCTGTGCTTTATTAGGCACTTAACACATTTGAATGAACAAATGAATGAAAAGCTAAGACTTTCGTGATTCCCTCTTAAAACCTCTTCTGATAGTTTATGCCCTTCCCTTTCTCGTACTCTAATTGTGTGTTGTATATTAAATGGGTGTGGTGAGTCTTACTTTGTGTCTTCACATCTGGGGGGTATTTTTCATTATTAGAATTCTGAGCATCTTTGCATTTTTGCCTGAATTTTTCCTCCTAAAATGTGCAGTAAATTTAGAAAAATTTTAAGTGCAACAATTTTTATTATGACTTTTCTCTTTAGTATCACATCTCTTGCCTCAAAATAATTGCTATGACAGACACTGACATTGCTATCACTTCTGAAAAACATACTTTAAAAACCTACTGCACACATATTGGTTCTTAAAGGTCTATTCATCAGTAGGCCTTATTGGACCTCTATGGACTTATAATTTTGTTTCATGGAAGAAAAATTGAATGCTTTTTTGATCAAATATTAAAATAATTTTATAACAATGAAAATAGTCGAAAAGTAATTCAGTGTACAGTTTTTTAACCCCCAGCAATACCTGTATTCTGCAAATTACAGTATTTTTGTAAAATAATCATATTAAAGTGTAATATATGTCCCATAAATTTATTTTATCTTGTGTGTAATTCAGTGATTTTTCGGTATCATAAAATTTCTACGGCATAGTTTTTTTTAAAACTAAGGAATGTAAGGTTCAACATTTTAAGGAAAAAGTAATTAGTTATATTTTGTCTCCTTTAAATCCCAGTCATCCCCTTGGCTTTTTAGTATTTTCTCAATATTTTGTTTGGTAGCGTTGTTGAAGCATAAGAAGGGACTGTTCCTTTCTGCTTAGTAGCAGGGGCTAAAGTGCCTTCTTCTTCACCACTTGAGGTGTGGTATCAGAAAGAACAAGCTGGACGTGGGGCTGGAAATAAAATGCGAGTGGAGTGGGAGTAAGTGACAGGTAGGGAAGAGGAGGAAAATGAAGAGTTGTCAGGCATAGTGGAAAAGCTATCCGCATTATAAGCACAATGAATTTCCTGAGTCAGGGAGCTTATTTGTTAAGATCTGATAATGAAAAACAAAATGCATTGGGCCAACTTTGGGGAATAATAATAAAGTTTGCTTTTCTCATCTTTTTACCTCTTCTTTCTGTGTGAGTTTTGATGTTCATGCTACCTGATGGGTGTGTCCAGTGTATGGGTGATGTGTTTCCTTGTTGTGCAGAGAGGCGTGATAGGGTGGTACTTGTGTTTTGAGAGCTCACAAGAGAGGTGGCATTGTTTGCCTCAGGAAGCTTATATTCAAAAGGTCCTTAATCCGCAGAGAATTCATGTGTGTGAGCGGAAACAGGGAAGGTGAATTCCAAACTGCAGGTAAAGTCCAGAAACTGTATGCCCTTAGCCATTGCTATCAAAGCACACAAGCTGAGTCACGACTTCCGTTTTTATATTAGCTTCCTATCGAGTTACTGTTAGATATGATGGCAGATCAGTGAATTGAGTTTTCTCAAAAAAAATGCACTTGATTTAAATGCTATAGTGTTGCTGCCTAAGGCGTCTTTGTCTCTTAGCAGTTGAGATACAATTTATGAAGCAACAGTTGCACAGTCCTCATGCTAGAGAGGCCTCACATAGTTATGTTTCATATCTGTTCCATGTAATTGTTTTTTGAATATTTAATACTTAATGTAAAGGAGCTATTTCAGGAGATTGAGACTTCTCATGGTAAGAGCGTTTGCACTTTAAGTGATTTTGTGCACGAGTAGAGTGAGTGCTATGTTTTGTGGGTGAGCGCACATGCTATTTTTTGTCTCACTTGGAAATTTTAAACAGCTACTGCCGAATGTCACAAGTAAAAGGTAGAAAGTTTGCAACAATTTCCCCACATAATCATGATGGGAGGGAGCTGGAGAGATGGCTCAGTGGTTAAAGAGTGGTTTCCAGCACTCATGTAGGAAAGCTCACAACTGTGTAACTCCAGCTGCAGGTGGATCCAACATACCTGGTCTGCTGGCACAAACATCCACAGACACACACAAGTATGTATACATATTTTAAAACTGCATGGAGCATTAAAAATCTCAGAGGCCACTTTGCAAGTACTACTGCTTTTCACAATGCTGAGAAATATCATAAATTTAAAATGAGCTTTGAACTTGGCACACAGTAAGTGCTCAGTAAACATGGCATGTGGTTTTAAAGTGTCTTTAAGATAAGCTGAAGCTATTATTATAGACTCTTACTCACTATTCCTTCTAGGGTTGTGTATGTGTGTGTTTGTGTCTGCATACTTGTTTGTGTGCACATGTTCATATGTGCTCATAGAAGCCAGAGATTGAAATCTGGTGTGTTTTTCAGTTTCTCTCTCCACCTCATTTTGAGACAGGCTCTCTCACTGAACCTGGAACTTGTCTGTTGATTAGACTTGCTGGCCAGTAAACTCCAGAGATCTTTTCTCTGCAACCCCAGTGCTGGAATTAAGTGCATGCTGTCACATGCTTTTATGACAAGCACCTTACTGGTAGTCTGAGCTATCTTACCATCCCTTCCTCCAAATTTTACATAGGAGAAATTTATGTCATTTTAGTAAATATGGAAAAGTAAGTAGATAGCTGTTTATAGACTGAGCTTCCTTTTAGATCATGTTTTGAAACTGAAACTCCTGCAATTAAAAATAATTCACAAGTATATATTTTACCTTATTTCTAGTGAAAACTTAAAAGGTATTAACTTGTTATTTAACATTTTTCTATTAATAAGCAAAGGATAAAACACCATGCTGTATGTAACTAATTTAAGGTAGTTTTCTTTACGACAGAACCTCCCTTTCATATCTCTGTTCATGTCAGAGGTAGAAGTTAAGTCACAATATCATATATATGTTTGAGAGTTTTAACATGGAAACTTGATAGTAAAGGAAAATTACATGTTTTGTGGCGCGTTCTTTGTGTGTTGTAAGCAGTTTTATAGTTGAATCATGTATTCACTTCAAATTAGTGAAGAAATGATGCTAAAATTTCCACCAGAGATCAGTTAACACAAGCCTCTTCCAACTACACAGAGAAATGCCTGTGACATACCTTTTTGTCCTTCATTTGCTAAAGCTATTTGAAAGAATTCCACAGAACAAATTTGAGCTATGGATACTAGACTCTTCACATGTACTTAATGGGGTTATGTTTACATTTTGAGAGTCTTATACAACTGCTTGTTTGTATCCAGAGGTGTGAGTGCCCCCATGCACAATTCTGTATTCCTTGTGTTTTGATTCTTACCAATATCATAAAACTTATTCATATCAGTTATTGCTCATTCTCCTTGGAAATGAATCAAGGGTGGAGAGATTTTTCAGTATTAATGATTCTAGTTTTGTTAAGGAAAAATAATTTAGATTTGTAAATTTTTGTTTTTCATTTGCATTTAAAAGTACATAAAGTACTTCAAATTCATTTGCTTATATTTTGTTTAAGCATGCAACCCTTTATGACAGAAAAACAAACATAGACGCTTTTACACTTCCAAGAGAGATAGAACATGGAATTAAAATAACCTTTCACTGTTTATGCAAATAAACACCATAGAAGAATCTAAAAATAAGTACTTGTAGGGAATACTTAAAAAATGTTTTTCCTGTAGGTAGCATAGAGAAAAGGAAATAATAAAGACAACGATGGGATAAGTTGAGCTTTGTTTTCAGTACTAGCAGAAGATGTTTGGTTAGAGTGCTCTCTTGGCCTGAGAATGAAATATGAGCAGATATTGCAGATGTAGGGAGCATCCTCCATGAGCACAGAGATGATGTATACAGCTGATGCCTGGTTATTCCTAAGCATTGCGGGCCCAGTAACCTTGGACATCTATGTAGTCATCTACCTCCTGGGGGATTTTATTTAATCTGGAGACTCCCAAATGCTATTTTGCATGAAAAGTTAGAGGACATATTAGGAAAAGCTGTTCTGACTAAGTAGAAAACAAATAATTGTATTCTGTTTCTGATCTTCATTTATAGCACCAGCAACAAGTGGTGCAGGCTGTGGAACGGGCCAAGCAGGTGACCATGGCAGAACTGAACGCCATCATTGGGGTACGTGGCCTTTCCATTTTAGCTCTGATCTTAGTGTTTGTCCTTAGCTTTCTTGTTTTACTCTCTTTAAATTTTGTTCCACCAAACTGGCAGAAAGTAATAGATGACCACAGTGAACTGAGCTCTTGCCCTTCAGTCTCCTGAGGCATTTGTTAGCTGCTCAGAAGCTTTGTGCCACAGCTTACTAATTAAGTTGGCTCCTGAAAACTCCCCTGAGGAGACTGGACAGCTCTTTCTCATGTTTCTTTATTGTGCCATTAGTTACTGTTGCTAAACTAGATAGGAAGAAATGATACAGTTTGCTCTGATGTTAAAATGACCTGATTTCTTTTTATCATTCCAAATGATTTATTTTGTCTTAATAACACTTTTAGTAAAGTATGTATTTTTGCTTATCCGCTTCTACTCTTTCTTCTTTGTTATGAGTTGATCTTACAGGGTAGTGTCTATTTGTAGAAGAAAATAGATGAACTAAAACAATCAGTGGCCCAGTTAGAAAATGCTAGCTGGCAGTGGTGGCAATGGTCTTTTATATAATTTGCTGGATCCATAGGTTTAGGCATTCACTCCAGTTCCAAATGAAACAACTGATAAAAACTTGGAAATAATAATAAATAAGAGAACTCTTGGTTGCAAACAGTCTGGTACTGACTTGACAGTTTATGCAGAAGTGCTGGAAGCACTTTGCCACATTTTAAAGAAGACTCCACTCCTTTCTACTCCCTCCCAAATGCTTTCTTTGTGTATAAATTATACACAAAAGTCTTTTCTCTTTTTCCCTCTCAGTGTATCAAACACACTTTGAAATGCTAATTATTCCATTTGCTTTCATTAAAATTCAAATTGCTGAGTGAAGATATGAATAAGGGTCGCCTAATAATCAATCTGCAGTGAAGATACTGCTACAATTATGCCACTGTCTTTTAACTAGGGAATCAGGACTCAGGGATCATTGCATTGGTGTTGATAGCAGTAGTCTGATTGTAGCTTGTTCTTTAATGGCCTATTTGAAGGTCTATTTTGTTTCTCTCTGACCACCAGAAAAAGAAAAATGGTAGTAAATTAACAGACATCATAATGGAAAGGACTAAGAAAAATGTGCCTTGGGAAGCAGAGGCGGAATCAGAAAGGCCCTGTAGACTCAGGAGAAAGAGAGATGGTGGGGCAGTGAAGAGAAAACATTTGATGACTACTTTTTCTGTCTTAAAACTCAAGAAGATAGCAGCGCGCGCGTGCTCACACACACACACACACACACAGAGAGAGAGAGAGAGAGAGAGAGAGAGAGAAGGAGAGAGAGAGAGAGAGAGAGAGAGAGAGAAACAGCTCAGTTTTAAAAGTTAAACTATGTAGTTCACAGTTCTGCTTGCATGAAACTTTTCATGTGAATGAGCTATGGTCATGTCAGAATGGTATGTGTGTTCTTTGTTTTTACAGATTCTCTCTCACAGGTGAATGATGATAGAACCTACCTACAGTTGTTTTTCTATGTAGTTTAGTGTTTGCGATGACTTTTACAGCTTGCTACCTACATCTGATTAGCACCTGTTTTTAGGAAAACAATGCATTTTGGTTGTTTTGCTTTTCTAGTTTCTAGTGATCAGCTGAACAGTGGAAAATTAGCTAAATCAGACCTATGGTTTTTTTATTAAAAAATTATGACAGGTAGAAAATCAAATAAGTTTCCCTACTTTTATCAGTTCCATATATTTTTAATGCTGTTTTACATTATTTTGTTTTCACATACTTGGTGTTGAATAGGATAACATTGCTTTCTCAGAGAAACCATTTGTAAGTTGTAGTTGTTCCTACTAGTCATATTGTCCATGTAGATTTAATTATGTAATCTAAAAGTTTACTTAAAAATAATTCAGTAGAGCTTCATGCTATCAAAGCATTATGCATTGATGTTGGTGAATTTTGTAGAGTTTCAAACTATTTGTATTTGGACAGAATGGAGTTAAAATTATATAATCTGCCTGTTCTGAAAACAGATATTACAAAAATAAAAATAAATGCTGCTATTCTAGGTTACCACAAACACCTGAGAAAGAAGGAACCTGGCTACAAACTTCACTTTCTGAATTCTGCAGCTGAGGTTCTTTTTGGTTTTAAAGCATGATGATAGTCTTGTATCAGTTTTCAGAGAATTTTTGCATATTTGTGGGATTTAAATGCACCTATTGTTCTCTGTACTTGTTTTAAGAAATGGTAGCATTTATTTATTTGTATGCTGGGATGGTGACACATTGGTGCCATGTCATGCCTCATGGAAGTTAGAAGGCAACTTGTAGGAATGGTTCTCCTACCATGTGAAGCCTAGGGATTGGCCTCAGTTTAAGCCTTGGTAACAAAAGCCTTTTTCCACTGCCTTACCTTTCCAGGAAATGGCAGCACTTTGATTTGCTACCAGAGTGATGATAGGTCAGGTTTAGATTTGTCTTACTGAGATTTTAGAATGGAATTGGCAGTGATTTTTCTGCACTGGGGAAATGACAACATTTCATCCAGGAGGCACAAGACCCACTCCACTACTGCAGACCTTCGTTTATTTATCTCTCCATATGCACCTATTTTATATGTGGGCACATCATCCAGACAAGAGGGAATGTTCCTAGATTTAATGAAATCTGATGAAGCGCACCTTTTAACTCTGCAATATTATTCTACCTTCATTGGTAAATGAGCCAAACCAGTGATCCATTCAGTTTAAATGCAAAATGCTGAAGTGAGCCTGAAACCTGGAGAGGTGACTGTTCTCCTGACAATAAGCTAGTTGTGTTTAATGGAATGAAACACAGTTATAATGATTTCTTTCACAGGTCATGTTCAGTTTAAAAGTGTTGATAGACTCAAATAAGTTAATTTTTTTTCTTTTATTTATAAGAAAGAAAACCAGGAAATTTCTCTTTTGCTTTTGTTTATAGTTATTGCCTTGTGTTTTGATTTCATGTTCCTTTGAAGCTTTCCTTGAGTTACCCCACACGGGCAGGGGGGAATGGTATGCATATAGTTTGATACTGTCATGCGTCCTCCTAGCCACTGTGCTTTTAAATTAGAATCTGTGAGATTGCGCTGTTGGAACAACACACAAATTGCAGTTTTAAATCAGTAATATGATCTAATTAGAAATGATGTTTTCATTTCCTGTATTATTAAATTGAGTCATCTGACTATCTTAAAATGATTCTTAAATCCATTACACTATATAATCAGTACATGCTGTGTGAATGTGGTTATACTTTATAAAGGAGGCTAACTTAGACCTATAAGGATTTCAGCAAACTTCTGTTAAGAAAAAGTTTGTTAGGGTAAGCATTAGAGAAAAAGAGATTCAGCTTATGAAAATGAAAATAAATTTTTTAAGAAAGATTCCTCGTCCTCTTTTTTTGTCCTAACCTTTTAAAGGGGAAATGATATAAATGCAAGCATTAAAATACCCCATCCCAATAACCTTTAGGAACAGGTATGCCATGGTGTTGCAGGAAAATGCAGTTTAGCACTAGAAATGCTGAACCTCAATTTTTAGTAGTGACATTTTAATGATAGGAAGTCTGCAAAATTATTTGCCATCAATTGTGAAGGCAATAACAAGCCTTGGTGGTTTTTCACACTTTCTGTGTTAAGTGCTTTCAGAATGACAGCGTAAACTGTGTTAGAGAACTCCAAGGAAGGAAAACTGATTAAAATGTTCATGCTTGAATGGTGCTGATGGAATAGTTCATTTGGACTTTCTCTACCTCCTGCAGCTCAAGCTGAAATATTAAAATTCAGTGGATTTAAATCTCTCTCCTCTCAGCTCAGGAAAAAAACATTACATTTTAATAGGTTTTAAACCCATAATTCATTGGTTTGGAGCAGCACTATTAAATCTATTTAAATATTACTTGTATTACTAAGGAAATGATTTAAAATGCCTTTGCCTTTTACTATCCTATGTGTTTGAATTATTTTTTCAAAAAGACAATATTTACTGTTGCTATTTTCTGTCTTAAAATTTGTTTTATTGTCCCTGTCATTTGATTGACTCTTATTGGGATATAAATTTGCGCGCTTATTTTTCTACTGACCCTTACAGTGTGAGTGTGTGGGTGTGCGCGCTCACCCGTGTGGGAATGAATTTATTCCAGATTGACATTTTGGGGGAGAGTATTAACATAAGGACAGTTTAGAAAATATGTCCCCCCTTTTCTAGTACAGATTTCAAAACTACCATTTTAAGCCTCAACTGCATTTAGATGAAACATTGTGATAATTTCTGATAGGTCTTTTAAAATAGGTCATTAGACAAAAACCTTAAGGGCATAAAAGTGCAGGATATGTAAAACAAGTGTGTGCAACTAAAAGTAGGAACTATTCAGGGACCTCAATTTGGCTTCCTAGCACCACCCACATTGGGCAGCTAACAGCTCAGGGTGATCTCATGCCATTGGCCTTCAAAGGCATCCACACTTACATGCACCCCTTCTCATATACATATTTAAAATGGAAATAAATCTTACAAAAAAGGTGAATACTTCTTCTATACTAATTATATAATATATAATCCTGTGGCCATGTAGTATCTTACTAGTGGTAAGATAAACCTGGAAATAAAATGGAAAACACAGTTTACCTTTTTAATAAAAGTCAAAACATTGTACATATCCAAGAGCAGTTTTCCATTCCTTTATGTTCACTATCAGGCCACCAATGGTTTTGTGATTTGTTCTGCTGCTAGCCTGTATTGAATATGGCTTTCCTACATTATCGAAACTGTCTTACCTGGACCCATCTCATCCCTAATACGTGCTATGGCTTGAGGGTGCAAGATTAGGAGGACTTGCTTTCCTCTGGTGCTTTGTAAAAATGTATCCTTCAAGGGGTGCCAGTAAGCTAGCACTCAGTTGCCCATCATAACCGTAGAATTAAGAATGCCACTCTTCTCACTTCTCTTTCCCTGCACACTAACACTTGGTTAGGATTGTTTGAAAGGTACAGCAGCTGTGTGCTAGCCCTTC